TCCAAGATTTTGATTTCGACATCCAACACATCTCAGGAGCTTCTAACAAGTGGCTGATGCACTCTCCCGTGAAAGTTTCCCAGAATCAACTGGTTAAAATCGTCCTTGAGATGTGGAAAATATTGTTAGTCTTTATATACTTGGTAGTATATTAAGAGGTAGCTGGGTTGGTTGGGGGTGGGGGGGGGGGGGGGAGGTGCATGTGTCTTATTAACTGTTTTCTTCTAGAGCTCCAGGAAGAAATCCCAGCCAGCGTTTCACCCTATCTGTGATTTGGGGGGCGTGTCATAAATATAAAGGGAAGGGTAAACACCTTTAAGATCCCTCCAGGCCAGAGGAAAAACCCTTTCACCTGTAAAGGGTTAAGAAGCTAGGATAACCTCGCAGGCACCTGACCAAAATGACCAATGAGGAGACAAGATACTTTCAAAAGCTGGAGGGGGCGAGAAACAAAGGTTCTCTCTGTCTGGGTGATGCTTTTGCCGGGGACAGAATAGGAATGAAGTCTTAGAACTTAGTAAGTAATCTAGCTAGATATGCGTTAGATTCTGATTTCTTTAAATGGCTGAGAAAATAAGCTGTGCTGAATGGAATGTAGATTCCTGTTTTTGTGTCTTTTTGTAACTTAAGGTTTTGTCCAGAGGGATTCTCTATATTTTGAATCTGATTACCCTGTAAGGTATTTACCATCCTGATTTTACAGAGGTGATTCTTTTTACTTTTTCTTCTATTAAAATTCTTCTTTTAAGAATCTGATTGCTTTTTCATTGTTCTTAAGATCCAAGGGTTTGGGTCTGTGTTCACCGATGGAAATTGGTGAGGATTTTTATCAAGCCTTCCTCAGGAAAGGGGGTGAAAGGGTTGGGAGGATTTTGGGGAGAAAGATGTTTCCAAACGGGCTCTTTCCCAATTATATACCTGTTAGACGTTTGGTGGTGGCAGCGATAAAGTCCAAGGGCAAAAGGTAAAATAGTTTGTACCTCGGGGAAGTTTTAACCTAAGCTGGTAAAAGTAAGTTTAGGTGGTTTTCATGCAGGTCCCCACATCTGTACTCTAGAGTTCAGAGTGGGGAAGTAACCTTGACAGTCAGTATCTCCAAAAAGACAAGGAGTATTGTGGCACCTTAGAGACTAACAAATTTATTTGAGCATAAGCTTTCGTGATCTACAGCTCACTTCATCGGATGCCTATACATGTCTAAAATTGTTCAGCACCTATATTTTCAGACTAAAAGTCCCCTAGGCACATAAGTTTCTGCTTCTGAGCATAGAATCATAGGACTGGAAGGGACCTCAATAGGTAATCTAGTTCAGTCTCCTGCACTCAGGGCAGGACTAAGTAATAAGCAGACCATTCCTGACAGGTGTTTGTCTAACCCAGGGGCTTCCAAACTGTGGGCTGCAGCCCAAAGGTGGGCCACACCACATTCCGGGGTGATCCGCCAGTGCAACTGCTCCGGTCAAGCTCTTAGTAAATCTTTAACTCCACATAACTCTGTAATCTAAGTAAAAGCTATATAAAAGTAACATTTTAAGCTGTGTATGTTGGACAGAGTACAGAAAAAACTTTATTAAAAAACCCAACAAGCTGCAATATGTCAATTTTAATTCTTGCAAGTACAATGGTGAGTTTCCCTGCAAGGTAACCTACCAACATACACACAGTATACCATTTACAACTGTAAAAAGTGGCAAGCAGTATTTCAGACTGACATGGAGTCATTTATTTTTGGGTGCACTGCAATGTTTCCTCTAATTTTTGACAGTCCATGTGCACAAAAAATTTCTTCTGTGCAAATTATTGTGCTTCTGTCCAAATTTTTGTGCGCGCGGTGTTTCACTGTGTGCGCGGGGTTTAGGATCTGTGTGCGCGCACACACGCGCACAGCTTAGATGGAATAGTGGTGTACTGGTGGAGAAGATAAGGAAAGTCCAGACCATCAGAGCTACACCAAATGAGCCACCCCCCCAAAAAAAGAAAATAGTAAGAAAGTATGATGACACATACTTGAAGTTTGGTTTCTCCTTTACCGTATTGGATGAGTACCCCTTGTCTCAGTGTGTTATAATATAACTGTTGTTTTATATTTTTATTTACAATATTTGATTGTTTTCTAATTATCGTGTTCAAAGTTGGAGAACTATTTTGTTTTTAAATCAACAAATAATAACACAATGTGTTTTTTAACAATTTTGTAAACTTTGTTGCTTGTTGTTCAGTTTTACATATTATACAGTTATGCCTCATGGTAGGTTCGTCTAGGCCAGGGGTGGGCAAACTACGGCCCGCGGGCCCCACGCCGCTCTCAGAAGCGGCTGGCACCATGTCCCTGTGGCCCCAGGGGCCGGACGGGGGGCAGAGGGCTACATGCTTTGCCCTTGCCTCCAGGCACCGCACCCTGCAGCTCCCATTGGCTGGGAACGGGGAACCACAGCTAATGGGAGCTTCGGGGGAGGTACCCAGAGGCACGGCAAGGGCAACGCTCTGGGCCCTGTGCCCTCCATCCCCCAGGGGCTGCACAGGGACGTGGTTCCGGACGCTTCCCGGAACGGTGCAGTGTGGGGCCAGGGCAGGCATGCAGAGAGCCTGCCCTGGCCCCAGTATGCGCCACTGCCACCCTGGTGCTGCTTTAGGTAAGCAGCGCCGGGCTGGAGCCCGAACCGCTCCTGCACTCCGCACCCCTCCTGCACCCCAACCCCCTTCTCTGAGCCTCCTGCTGCATCCCAACCCCCTGCCCTGAGCCCCCGTCCCATCCTGCACCCCAACTCCCTGCCCTGAGCCCTGTCGCACCCCGCATCCCTTCTGCACCCCAACCCCCTGCCCTGAGCCTCCTCCTGCAGTCCGCTCCCCTCTTGCACCCCTGCCCTGAGCCCCCTCCTGCACCACAACCCCCTTCCCTGAGCCCCCTCATACACCCACACCCCTCCTCTGCCCCAATCCCTTGCCCCGAGCTCCTTCCTGCACACCACACCCTCTCCCACACCCCACACTCCCTCCCACACCCCTGCCCCGGCCCTGCATAAAATTTCCCCACCCATATGTGGCCGTCAGGCCAAAAGGTTTGCCCACGCCTGGTCTAGGCTATATTTCCCTAGTTTGCTTCGGAGAAGGTTGTGAGACAGTATCAAAAGCTTTACTAAAATCAAGATATATCACATTTACTGCTTCCTCGCCATCCACAAGGCTTGTTATCCTGTCAAAGAAAGCTACTAGGTTGGTCTGACATGATTTGTTCTTGACAAATCCATGTTGACTGTTACTTATCACCTTATTATCTTCTAGGACCTGGTGTCTGCAAACTGTTTAATTATTTGCTCCATTATCTTTCCAGGTACTGAAGTTAAGATAACTATTCTGTAATTCCCCAGGTTGTCCTTATTCCCCTTCTTATAGACTGACACTATATTAGCCTTCTTCCAGTCCTCTGAAATCTCTCGTGTTTTCCAAGATAATCGATAATGGCTCAGATATTTCCTCAGTCATCTTGAGTATTCTAGGATGTATTTCATCAGGCCCTGGTGACTTGAAGACTGTCTAAAACTATATCTAAACTGGCAATTGAACAACAAAAATTTTCCTTTCAGACACCCCACCCTCCCCCCGAAAGACAAAAGTTTTTCTGTGACAAGCGCTAGTGTGAACAGTGCATTGTCGGCAGGAGCACTCTCCTGCTGACAATGCAAATGCCGCTTGTTGGGGATGGAAGTTTTTTTGCCGGCAGGACAGCCGACAAACAGCGGCTACATTGCATGCCTTTTACATGGCTGTTGCAACACAGCCACGTCACTAAACTCTGTGTAGTGTAGACACAACCTAAGTAATTTTTAACTTTTTCTTTCCCTAGTTTAGCTTCAGATCCTACTTCATTTTCACTGGCATTCACTACATCAGGTCAATACTAACCTTTTTGGTGAAAACTGAAACAAAAAAGTAATTTAGTGCTTCTGCCATTTCCAGTTACTGTCTTTTCTCCCTTTCGAGTACTGGCCCTACCTTGTGCATTGTTTTCCTCTTGTTTCTAATGTATTGGTATAATGTTTTCTTGTTACCCTTCACATCTCTAGCTAGTTCCCAGGGGATGCTCGACCCTGGCCCCACCTCCCCATCCACCCCTTCCCCCGCCTGCCTCTTCCCACCCCTGACCCCCTTACCCCCAGGGCCTCCAGCATGCTGCTGAACATCCGATCAGCGGAATGGAGGGGGAGGCACAGGGGGGAGGGGGAGGCACTGATCCGCGGGGCTGCCGGTGTGTGCTGAGCATGCAGTATTTTTTTTCCCCACGGGTGCTCAACTCTAGTACTGTGTCCAGTTCTGGACACCACATTTCAGGAAGGATGCGGACAAACGGGAGAGTGTCCAGAGAAGAGCGACAAAAATGTTTAAAGGTCTAGAAAACATGACGGCCGAGGAAAGATTGGAAAAACTGGATTTGTTTAGTCTGGAGACGAGAAGACTGAGGGGCGGCCTGATAACAGTTTTCAAGTACATAAAAGGTTGCTACAAGGAGGAGGGAGAAAAAACCCTCTGGGAATAGGACAAGAAGCAATGGGCTTAAATCGCAGCAAGGGCGGTTTACGTTGGCCGTCAGGAAAAGCTTCCTGTCAGGGTGGCTAAGCGCTGGCATAAACCACCTAGGGAGGCGGTGGACTCTCCCTCAATGGAGACTTGTAAGAGCAGGCGGGGCAAACACCGGGAACGGGGAACCGCGGCCGCACCTGCAGACGCTCAGGTAAACAAAGCCTCCTGTGGCCCGCCAGCGGCTCACCCTGAACAAGCCGGGAACCCCGGCAAGCCGATGGGCCTTCGGGACTTCTAACTCACCCTGACTTTTAGCGGGGTAGCAGCCGCCGCAGGGAACGTCACGCCCCGCCCCACTACCATAGACTCCGCATTGCGCAGGCGGGGGCGGGGCTTCCGGCGGGAGGGCGGGTACCACATGACTAGCGACGCTCTAGGAGTTTAATAGAGCCGCTCTAGCCACTTCCCCTTCCTCTCTATAGGAGGCTGTGCGTGTGCGTAGGAGCGGGCTGCGGCCGGCCCCAGCCGAGCGATTTCCGCTTCCGGTGTCCTTGTTTCCCGGTGCGAGGTGAAGGGACCAGAGCCAAGATGCTGCGGAACCTGCTGGTGAGCGCGGCCGGGCCTCCCCGGGAGCGCGGGGGCAGCTGGGCCCCGCGCGTCTCCTCTCCCCGCCGCAGCGTCCCCTGCCCCTCAGCTGCGCGGGCGGCTCCCTGGGTCTCTCCCGCCGTCCAGGCCTCGCCGCGCTGTGGGCTGTTCCTGAGGCTCCCCTGGCGGAGGGCAGCGAGCGGCCTGGCGCCCCGAGGGCTGCAGGGGAGCCCTGCCCCGCCTCCCTGACTGTGAGCGGCCCCGGGGGCCCCGCCGTTCGCCCGGCGGCGGTTGCGGCGCGCTCCGGGGGAGCCGGCGGCTCTGAGGAAGGCCCTTGCTAGGGTGCCGCAAGGTCACGCTGGCTCTTCCCTCGGCCCGTGGGGACGTCGGCTCGACATCGTCGGCCGCGCAAAACAGCGGGAAGCGCCGCAGTTGGGGCTTATGTAGGCAGCCGCAGCCTGCTGTCGCCTTTGCTTTTTTGTCCGCGGCTGCCCGTTGAGCTGAAATGAACCTTTGAGAAACAGCCTGGGTGCAGCGCTCTGCCCCGTGGTGTCACGGGCAAGATCGATTTAACGTGAATGCTTAATCCGTTATGACTCCAGTAGATACAGTTTTCAAAGGATGAATGCCTTCTCCTTAGTGGTGCTTAGGCACTGGTTTTTAAGGGTTAAATAGTCTTCAGTCTTAAAAGTGGAAGAGCATCTGTTGTCCCTTTTGCTTATTAAGGTTAGGGTTTTCTGAGGGGCTCCATTGCTATGGGATGGGTTTCCCAGGTAAATTAAATATTTACTTGAAGGTCTGTGATGGAAAAGCTCTATCAAAAGGGAGGGAGGGTCTTGCATCTTGTTGTGAAGATGGGAAGACTCTGGACATGACACTCTTGGAAGTTCATTCCATAGCAAGATCCTCTTTCATTATGTCAATCTGTCATACATTTAATTCTGAGCTTTGTAAGCTGCATTCTCCTGGAGGAATTTAGCCATCTAGGCAGGCTATTGGTGGGGATGCACTTTCTGGGTCAAGGTTTCAAACTGCCAACTAAGGCAGACACTACAGTTAGAGGAAGTGTAGCAAAGAGGTGAACATTTACAGCACCGTTAAATAGCTTTGCAGCCCAAGTCAGCTGACATCAGCCGCAGGTGTTCAGTGAGGTAGACATAACCTTGGTGTCTTCTCTTTTCTTCTAGAGGTCCTATGTGTACAGTGGAGATGAGGGAATACAGGATAGATCTGAGACTTGGGGTGTATTTTGAGGGACAAGGTGCAGTTGGTATTACCATCTTTGAGCCCTGTGGGAGATAAATAATTTGAGCCATTGTAGTAATGGGCTGTCACTCCATCCGTGTCATGTAAGGGGATCAGCAGTGATTTGGTTAGTTGTCAAGGCTAGAATGGTTGAGTACCTAACTCAAAAATGACTGAATGAATTTTGGTCAGATGTTGGGCTGAGATCATTTGAAAGGTGACTTTAGTAGAAAGCTATGAGCAAGATAAAATTTTTGCAGTTCGTGTAGCTTTTTCTGTCAGACTTATGGTAATTAAATGAGATTCTAGGCTTGTGTAATCTTAGGACTCAGCGCAACAAAATTAAACTGATTAAGACTGTTATTTTTCTTTAGTGCTGCAGCATAAGCCTAGTCTTTGGCACAGAAGAGAAGAAACAGAGGGCATGCAACTATAGCTTCTGCTTTTACCCGTTAAACAGTAATCGTTTGTTGGAGTGGAAATAAAACAAAAAACACCCTGAATCTCTTCCATAAAACTTGAGTCCTCCAGTTGACTAGTCTTAATATTATGCATTTCCCAAGTTTCGGAAAGCTAAGACCCCCTCATCATTGTAATTTTAGAAATATGTGTAAGCCGTAAATTGTTAGGAAAACTTTCACTTCAGTGTGGATAAGTATAACTAGCTTTTTAAAGTGCTATATGTTGTAATTGTAGGCTCTTCGGCAAATTTCCCAGAGGACCATAAGCACTGCTTCACGCAGACAAGCTGCGAACAGAGTTCCAGAGAAGCAGAAGCTTTTTCAGGTATTGAATAGGCACAATCAATGTGTAATTTTATCGCAAATAGAAAAGACTTTGATAGAATGTATCGATATTTTGTGCTGTTCTTTGATTCTAGCATTTAATTAGATAGTTTAGAGGAATAAGTAGAGAAGATCTACTTTCACATTTTAAATGGGAATAACTTGGAAAACTAATATTTCAAATTGACTAAGCAGTGTTCATGTTATTGAAGTGCTCTGTACATGGAAGAAGATGCATCTTTTGACTTGTCAACTGTTGTACAATCTGACTGCTTGAGTGATCATGTTACATGGTTTTAAAATATATGAATTTGTTTCACTTTCTTGAACTAGCCTTCTGATGGGATAAATGAAATAGTTCCAGGTACAAAAAGTGTGTTCATAGAACAAATGAAAAGTAGAAAATGTATGGGAGAAAACAAATACTTAGGCCTCCACTCATCTGAAGAAGTGGTTTTTGACCCATGAAAGCTTATGCCCAAATAAATCTGTTAGTCTTTAAGGTGCCACCGGACTCCTTGTTGTTTTTGTAAATACTTAGGTAGTGCATGTGAAAAAGCATCACGCAGCAAATTCACTACATACTGATGTATTTCTATAGTTAAAGGATTGTGGGGTTTTTAATGCTTAGCCTGTAGCCATACCAACATAAACTTTATACATATCAAATCTCCTAAATAGGCCAGATTGAGCCTGCTCAGAACTTGGATGGGGCAAGTCCCAGGAGAAGACTTATAGAAAGTGGTATTAGAGACTCAGCAGGAGGTATGGTTTCCACCTGAATTAATATCCCAACATAGTGGTGGAAGTAGGACTTCCTGTTAGACTGCTATCTTTTGGATGATTGGGGCATTGATTGCTTGTGGCACTCTTACAAGATGAGGAGTATCCTAGCCCAAACCCTAATTTGAGTGACTGCTCTTCCTACCTAAACTCCCATGTCATTTCAGTTGGCGAAATTCTACAATTCTCATTCTAAAGAAAACTCATCTAGGGAATTCTGGCACTAAACATTGTGCCACATTCCACTGCACAAGTGCCATCATTTGCACTGGATAAAATTCTATTAAAGTTTGCAAAGCACCTTGGGGGCTGCTTATTTTGTGGATGAAAGATGCTATATTAACATAATGTACTGATATAATAGGATGAAAGATGCTGAGATTTGCAACTTCCAAATAACCTTAACATCAGAATGTAGTATCTAACTTTTGATTCTAAAAAAAGAACTTGAAGGACAAGATTGACTGACTCTTAAGTTACTGACTTAAAAAATATGTGGGAACATACTGGCTAAAAAGGATTATTCAAAAGAATGAAAACGAACAATATTTGGAAAGAATGATATGGCTACCCAGCTCTCAAAAATAATTATTTGTAGGTCGTGTAATATTTGGTAAATTTAGAATATCTAATGAACAACTTAAACAGCATGCACATAAGATTATTCATGTTCCTGTTTTTTTATTATTATTATTTTCCATTAGGAGGATAATGGAATGCCAGTGCATCTTAAGGGTGGACTAGCAGACGGTTTGCTGTATAGAACCACCATGGCTCTAACAGTTTTTGGTAAGGTTTGATAGAAAACTGTATTATTCAACAGTTATATTTCTTGTGTAACCTGAAAAGTAGTTGTCTTAAAATGTGAATGGCAAGTCGTGTGTGTGTGTGCACTCATGTTAAAAGCACTCCATAATAAGGCCAAGCAAAGTGTTGTTAGACGGTAAATTCAAAAAACTTTAAGCTTAGGTTGAAACTGAAACAATCTTTTGAAAGCCTGATTTAACCTGTCTGTTAGGAGTACTCACCACATAAATACAACTTCAAGTGTTTTCTTTATATAAAAAATAAAATTACCCTAAAGCTGCTCCTGAAAAGAGAAAAGGTAAAATTTCATTGGTAAAAACTTTTCAGTGCTCCAAGCGAAGCTTGAGTTGAGGCTCTAGATAACCTCACTTGCTGTGAGGTTTAGGTCAGGTCTGTCTCTTAACTGGATCCTACATACTGCAAGAAAGTCTTTGCTTTACAAAATCTCAAACTTGCAGCTCAATTTGTATGTGTACCTTTCTGTAAACTTAATCTTTTGTCTCTTTCCATTTCAGGAACATGCTACGCTGTTTATGAGCTGTTTGTAGCTGCAATGCCCAAGAAAGTGAAATGATTCCAGTTTACAAGATGCCTCCTTAATTAACATCGTTGTCCAATTTCACGTAATTCTTCAGGGATCTTGCTTGTCCTTGTCATCAATGGTTGATTTCATGTTTGGGATCAATATTTATTGTAACATGTTAACTGCAACCAATAAAGCAGTTTTTACATGATTTTGTGGTAATCCTAAATCTGTCAAACACGTTCTACATACTCAGCGTTCTGGTTCCTAACAGTGAATTCGTATTTATTAAGTGTGATTGTGTTCATTATGGTAAGTACTCTGCTTAAACAGAACTTATCTTGCGTATAAATTGCAAGAAAGAAAGAACATAAGAATGGCCCTCCTGGGTCAGACCAAAGGTCCATTTAGCCCAGTATCCTGTCTTCCGACAGTGGCCAGTGCCAGGTGCCCCAGAGGGAATGAACAGAACAGGTAATCGTCAAGTGATCCATCCCGTTGCTCATTCCCAGCTGCTGGCAAACAGAGGCTAGGGACACCATTCCTGCCCATCCTGACTTATAGCCATTGATGGACCTATCCTCCATGAATTTATCTAGTTTTTTTTGAACTCTGTTATATTCTTGACCTTCACAACATCCTCTGGCAAGGAGTTCCACAGGTTAACTGTGCATTGTGTGAAGAAATACTTCCTTGTTGTTTTTAAACCTGCTGCCTATTAATTTCATTTGGTGACCCCTAGTTCTTGTGTTATGAGAAGTAGTAAGCACTTCCTTATCTACTTTCTATACTAGTCATGATTTTATAGACCTCAATCATATCTCCCCTTAGCCATCTCTTTTCCAAGCTGAAAAGTTCCAGTCTTAATATCTACTCAGACAGAAGCCATTCCATAACCCTAATAATTTTTGTTGCCCTTTTCTGAATTTTTCAATTCCAATATATCTTTTTTGAGATGGGGTGACCACATCTGCACACAGTATTCAAGATGTAGGCATATCATGGATTAATAGAGGCAACATGATCTTTTCTGTCCTATTATTTATCCCCTTCTTAATTATTCCCAGCATTCTGTTTGCTTTTTCAACTGCCTCTGCATTGAGTGGATGTTTTCAGAGAACTATGCACAATGACTCCAAGATCTTTCTTGAGTGGTAACGGCTAATTTAGACCCCATCATTTTATATGTATAGTTTGGATTATGCTTTCCAATGTGCATTACTTTTCATTTATCAACATTAAATTTCATCTGCCATTTTGTTGCCCGTTACCCACTTTTGAGAGATCCTTTTGTTGCTCTTTGCAGTTTGCTGGGTCTTAACTCTCTTCAGTAATTTTGTATCATCTGCAAGATTCTGCCACCTCACTATTAACCCCCTTTTCCAGATCATTTATGAATATGTTGAATAGGACTGGTCCCAGAACAGACCCCCAGGGGGACACCACTATCTAACACTCTCTGTTCTGAAAACTGACCATTTTACATATCCTTTGTTTCCTATCTTTTAACCAGTTACCAGTCCATGAGAGCATTTTCCCTCTTATCCCTTGGCAGCTTACTTTGCATAAGAGCCTTTGGTGAGGGACCTTGTCAAAGGCTTTCTGAAAATTTAAGTACACTGTATCCACCGGATCCCTTGGGTCCACATGCTTGTTGACCACCTCAAAGAACTCTAGTAGATTGGTGAGGCATGATTTCCCTTTATTAAAACCATGTTGACTCTTCCTCAATAAATTATGTTCATCTGTATGTCTGACAATATTGTTCTTTATTATAGTTTCAACCAGTTTGCCCAGTAATGAAGTCAGGCTTACAGGCCTGTATTTGCCAGGATCACCTCTGGAGCCCTTTTTAAAAATTGGTCACATTAGCAATCCTCCAGTCATCTGGTACATAGTTCAGTAAAAAGTGAAAGTGTTTTGAATACAGGAGAAAATGTGAAGTGTCTAACTTTTGATTTCTAGTTTAATTGAAGTCTAAGCTAGACCTTACAGTAATTTACAGGAAAAATAAAATTCTGTAAGTTTTGATTGATATCTAACTTTATCTTTGGTCAGAAATGAAGAAAATTTTCAAGTTGGAAGGTTTAATAGGCCATATGTTAAGTGTTTTGGTTTTAAAATAACATGTTTAAAGTACCTAAAAACTGAGATAGGAAATTCTACTCCTCCTGCACTATGTGTTTAAAAACAGAAAAAGTATCTTTCCTCTCACTGCTTCACCAAGCTAAGACAGCATCATTGAGCCTGCAAGGGAACACACTATACTTACAGAATGAATATATATATGTTTGTTTGTGTGGTGATGGTGGGAGCTCTTTTGGGTTAAATTCACATCTCTGGTTGGTCTCCTTGGTGCTTTTTCTTAAACAACTTATTAAAACCCCATGTTTGTTTATTTCATGAAATTCTGTATCTTTCTGTGTACTTGTCTTGCTCATGTGTATACTTGAAAAGTGTGTTTTCTGCTCATTTCAGCAGCAGTAAGATACCAGTTTATTTTATGACTTCTGTAATCTCAAACTGAACAAGGCTGCTTCTAAACTGATCAGGATAAATCAAAGCAGTCAACTGTAAACTACTTGGTTCTTGTTGTCATGTTCACAACTAGTAGCAATACTAGGTTTTTGGTACAGGGTAAAGCAATAAATGAAACTGAAGGAGGAAAGTCCAGCACAGTAATACAGAGTCTGATCTCCATTTTCCAGGTGTAAATCCAGAACAACTCCCCTGACTAATGCAGTTACAGGTGGTTTTATAATAGTAGACACTTATACTTCACTAGTAACCAAAGTCCTAGGTCAGAATTGTTCCCTGTTGTAGTAGCATACACACAGATACCTACCATTACAGAGAATGAATGGTCGTGGGTTATGAGCAATGTTAAAGTGAGTGGGGCAGGACTTAACGTCATGGAGATGTTTTTTTTTTTTAAATGCTATTACTTACTGCTCTACTTCATTTAACAATAGAAGGGCATCATAGAAAATTCTCTAGTGTATATAATTGCACCAGCAGGACAACCAAACAGCATTTTTGTAGCCAGAATCAGATAAGTGCTGTAGCTGATGGAAAAGAATTGGAATGTACTTGAACAAGGGGCATGTCCTCTTGTTTAAGGAACTTTTCATACTAAAATATCCCAGAAAATTAATTTTATTTGGGGAAAAACTTTTACCCAGTCATTTTTTTTTCCAATTTGTAAAATATCTATTGTTTGCCTATTGGTATAAGCCTTAGGCACGCATTTAAATGACCAACAAGCAAAGGTTTGGGGTTTTTAAACACATTTCTTCCCTCCTGTCCTAAGTGAAACTAAGGTGATTGCAGAATCTGGGTGCCAGCCTACTTCATATTTTTGTTTTCAGAGCATTTCTGCCCATCATACATCTCACTATTACCACAGTTGAAATCATGGAGTTTTGGAGTGCTACAGGTAAGCGTGCTACTTTAGACAACTGAAATATGACAAGTCTGTGTCCAGGAGCACTACATAGAACAGACGTGAGGAAGGAATAGAATAGATTTTCACATTAAGACTTCCAGGGAATTGTCACATGTACACAGCCTGTTGCAATAAGGAGAGACTAGTGAGGAAACAGCAATCCTAATAAATGGGTGTTGAGGGATTTAAAGGAGAGAAGACTGCTGCATGAGGGAGATCAGTGCATGTGAAAAGGGCACACATGAGTTACAAGAGAAGGCTGAAGGATAGAGGAATGGAATTGACAGGAGGAAGAGAGGGAGAGCTGTACCTGCATTGTCTCAATGTAACTGCAAGATGGGGAGCTGACTGAGTGTTAGCACGTGATGGAGCTGCAGCCCAAATCATCCCTTCATTCTCCCCTTCACATGCTGAGGCGGCCTCACATTCACAAACAGGAGCCGTGATGGAAGAGATGCCTGCAGATGCTGAGCTGATCAGTGCCATCCTCTGGGATCACTGTGGTAAGAATAGAACCACTCATCCACAGCTCTGTACATAGCTGCCAGCCTCTTCCGATATTTTAACTGAAAGATGTAAAAGCAGCCTTGAGGGCACCTACCATTTCTTCAGGAGATCTAAACAATGAGATCTACATATCCACCTTACTACATGCAGATCTAGCAGATAAAGGTATAACAAGATCCAATGACTGCAAGTTGAAGCCAGACATGTTTAGACTGGAAATAAGGTGCAAATTTAACAGTGAGGGTAAATAAACACTGGAACCACTCACCAAGAGTTGTCATGGATTCATCACTGGCAATTTTTATATCCAGATTGGATGTTTTTCTGAAAGATATGCTCTAGTTCAAACAGGAATTTATTCAGGGAAGTCCTATGGCCTGTGTTGTACAGGAGGTCAGGCTAGGTCCCTTCTGGCCTTGTAACTTATGGGGTCCCCCTCACCCCCCATTGCTTCTCTAAACTGTCATATTGGCCATCATTATTCCTTACTATTGCATATTGCTTCAGCAGTCTGTCATTGAGATACAAGTGCCTTATTCTTCCTTCCCCTCATCACGTCCTGATTATGCTGTATATACATATCAAAGAGATGGAGCTTGTGCTGTATAACTGCTAAAGCGAGTCAGACAAAATTATGCACAAACAGACCCTGATCAGTCAAATGTGACTGCAAAGAAGTCATTTATGTGGTGAGAGTTCATTGTGAGTCAGAACTAAATGTACATTTCCAACATACATTATTGCACAAGCATTCACATGAAACGATGGACAGTCTTTTGTTTTTCAGACAGTCCTGCTTACTAAAACTTCTTTAGTTTAGCTTTCCTAAAGTCTGTTTGAAGCATAAAGCAAAAACAAAAACATCCCCCAAAAGACAAAAAACCTCCAAAATAAATAAAACATCTTCTGTGATCACTTATTTTTTAAAATAAAACCAAAATAAATCCTTTGTGCTTTTGAATGTACAGTGTGTGTTCAGCAAATGAGTACCTGTCAATATATTTAATGGTACCAGCTGTCTGTACCATTAAAAAAAATTTACCTGTTTGATACTCTGCAGCAAATGGGAATACTTGGATTCACTTCTTACCTCAGGAATGCACAAGGCTGTAGACCCAGCAGGGAGAGGAAACAGTCTGAGGCCTGTTCTCTTCTACCTTGTCTCCCTATTTGTCAAGCCTTGTTTGCGTGATGGCTCATTCCTATGAATAACACAGATATGTTTGCTGTTGGATTAAATCATCATAGGCCTGAATTGG